CTCAGCTTCCATGCTAACTTTTGCTCGTCTTCCCTCTCTCTTCGTTCCATTGGGTCTGTCATGGCYGCTAGCTCAGCGGCCAGCGCAACCTTCTCATCCTTAGTCACATATGACTCCGCCTCCTCGTCTTCCCCCAACGATAAATTAGCGACCCACTCGCTGATCTTCTTCTCCAGCTCAGTATCTGTCTCCCACTTCATCGTGCCACTACTACTTCCTTCCCCACTCTCAATTCTCATTCTCTCTTTCTCTTATTCTGCGGCCACTTCTGCTTCAGCAGCCTTCCTTCTTTCTTCCTCCTCCTGTTGTTCCCTCTTCATCTCCTCCTCCAATCTCTTCATCTTCGCCGCCTACTCGTATGCGATAGCCTTTAGCTTGGCTTGCTTTTCACGCTCTTTCCTCTCCTTATTCTCTCTGACTAAGGCGGCCATCTTTTTTTGCTGCTCGGTAGTGTAGGGGCTAGTCTCCTTCCCACTACGGGTCTCAACCATGGTGATAAGTGTACAACCGGGTTAGTGGTTCCAAACCTCACCACGTAGACGTCAACCCCTGACTGACAAACCTCCAGACTCAATCTAAGACTCACAGAATCCTGACAGGGATCCTGTCAACTATGGTCTCTAGCCTAGACCTACACTATGGCTGTCACTACTGAACCAGTGGCTGATCAGGAGGCATTTAAGGAGATCCCCCGTAACTCCTCAAGAATTCTTTAACGTCGTAGACAGGACGACGTGATCATCTTGGTTCTGCCTGTGCTTTCAGCCCACAACTCAACCTTTCCGGCCTATTGTGCCACACCGAGCAGCCCGCCGGTCTGTACCGGTCCTTAGGAGGGTTCGTATCCCCCGGGACAGTCGAGTCATCAGACACAGATCATCAGCCTTACTTGGTCTGGTAGGGGAGTGGTTCCAACAGGCCCTCAACACTTAAAGACGGCCTCCGTTTCAGCCTGCAGCTAAGAGTTCGGACCCTCTACACTGAAACTGAGCAGACCTGCCGGACAGTACCGGTCATTGGGCTAGACGAGTTGTTTAACGAGCGCTCGCCGCTCATGCCCAGGTCCCCAGATACCAGAGTAGAGATTAGTCCTACTAAGTCCCGTGCAGGTTTGGCAGCAAGGCCCCATCCTTCATCCACAGAGTTCTATGACGTAGGACAGAAGAGACTCAATGCAGAAAGAATAGACAGACAGACTGTACTGAGCAAGTATCAAGGGGTATGTGCATATCCATAGGGCAAGGGGCAGGCTAAGGGCTTGGCGAGATGTTACCAACTCCAGCTTGGTCAAAGTCTTGGTCAACGCCTTGGTCAACGAACTTGGTCAACGCCGGTCAACGCTGTTATGACCCTCGGTCAACTTCGGTCAACTCTGGTCAACGCCTCCGGTCAACCCTCTTGGTCAACCCTCCAGTCAGCTATGGCTGCCGGCTCTTCTTCCTCGCCAATCTTCTTCACCTTCCTCTCCTCCTTTCACCCCGCTGTCTTCTTCTTCTCTTTTTCTTTTTCCTTTTTTTTTGTTTTTTTTTTTTTGTCGGCCTCCTCTTCACCTCCTAGCTATGGCCACTTCTCTCCCTGCTCGGTCTCTCCCCCTCTATCCTTCTCCCTCCTA